AGCCAAGGCCTTTGCTGCTCCTCACACCACCCCACCAGCGAGTGGGCTGGGGGTGCACAAGGAGTTGGGAGGGGACACAGCCGGGACAGCTGACCCCAACTGGCCAAACGGATATTCCATATCATATGATGTCATGCTCAGCATACAAAGCTGGGGGAAGAAGGAAGGGGGAAAACATTTCGAGTGATGGCGTTTGCCTTCCCAAGTCACCGTTATGCATGATGGAGCCCTGCTTTCCTGGGGATGGCTGAACCCCTGCCTGCCCATGGGAAGTGGGGAATGAATTCCTTGTCTTGCTTTGCTTGTGGGCGGCAGCTTTTGCTTTACCTGTTAAACTGACTCTATCTCAACCCAGGAGTTTTCTCACTTTTATCCTTTCGATTCTCTCCCCCCTCCCTCCGGGCAGGGGAAGTGAGTGAGCAGCTGCATGGTGCTGAGCTTCTGGCTGGGGCTAAACCATGACAACTGGGGACACACTTCCTAAATAAAAGGATTTTGTCTCCAGACAAAGGTATATGCAACCTGTTGCACTGCTGGTAAATCTGACAGAAAACCAAAATTACTGATGAAGAAATACTTATTCCAAAACATAATCCATTATGAGCAAAAGCTTTTAGCTTTGATTAGTGTTATTTTAAAATTACCTAGAATTGGTTTCCTGCCCAAAGAGTACACACTGCTTGCTCTCTCTTCTGGATATACTTGGTGCCAAATCTGGTGCTTACTCCTTTCATAGGAAAGCTTGTCAGAAATGTAAGTCAAATTGCTAGAAAAATATCTGCAGTTAGAATTCAACTTCAAAGACTCAGTTCAGAGTCTTCTGGTAAAAAATACAAAGGAAAGTCAAGAAAAAAAAGTATGAAAATGAGAAGTAAACGTCTCAAGTTTTATACTGACTGCCAGTCTTAGTCAAAGATTAACATAGAGCAGATCTTTAAACTGCAGTTTCAATTTTACAATTAAAGAGTTTCAGTAGTTACAGTACAAATCAGAAATAGAAGACTAAGTAGAATTTTTAAAAAGTATCCTACTTCCTACGTGTAAGAACTTCTGAACACTAAACTACGGCAGACAAAAAATAAATTCACCACACTCAGAAAAGAAACACGGGTATTAAGAGATCAAATAGGATTGTATTGCAAATTAATATAAAATGTAGCAGAAACAATAACAACATATAATAATTTTAGATTAGGGATTACTATTGCCAGGCATTTTAAGAAATGCTTTTATTTACATTTCCAGAGATATTACAACCCAAATTTACACTAGAAATTCATATAAAGCAGGAGAAAATACTAAATGTTACATAAATCCAGCAAAAGATCAAACACACATTCTGAAATCAAAACAACAAAATTTCTCATTCAACACATCTATGTTAAATCAAAATCTGCTTTTAGTAACTAAAACTGTAATTCTCTCAAAAGATAATTTGATAAGATACCTGCCTGTTACTTATGAACCATAAAATAAATAAATGAATTTATAAAAGAAGAGTCAAAGGTAACTAAGATTCATACCTGTAAGGAAAGGTTGTTATTTCTTATCTGCTTACTCAAGGGCTCCAATTCCTTAGATTGCATGAGTCATTCCGAATAGCACCATTATTTCACTTCTTTATAATGTTTTGAAGAATGCCATTTAGCATATTATGCAATTTTTCATTTTCCTTTTTATGAATGAGGGAAATATCAATGAAATTCCACATGATACAGAGCAACTTATACACTACGGAAGTTCTGCTTATTTACAGAAAACAGTAAAAAAAGTATCCAAACTTCAAGTAACATAGGCAGTTGGTATAAATTATACAGAATAATTAGATTGAAAGATAGTGCTAGTGACTTGTGTTTAGACTGGAGATAAGAGAGTTACTCCTTGACAATCCCAAATTCAACAGAATTGAATTGAGGTTTATACAGAGGAAAGCATGATCTGGATTTGTAGTCCTATGCAGTTCTTGGATCGTTTGGTGAAGAGTAAACAATTCAAACATCTTCTTATTGCTTCTGCAAAAGATTTTACATAAAACGTCAATTGAAAATCGAGCTGTTTCATCTAAACACTGAAGATTCTTTTTTTTTTTTTAGCAAGAAAATGATGCATTATATTGGGAGTTTCACATAATTCTTCTAGGTTGCATATACCTACCTCCAAGCAGAAGGTTATCAATGCATGGTGAGAAAAATCTTGGCAAAAGTCACCAAAACCTATCATTTCACTTGAGTAAGTAGTATTTACATGTACTATGATGAAAGCTTAAGGAAATGCTGTAACAGGGTTTCACTAATGCAAAATAAGATTCCAGAAACAATAGAATTTTTTAAATAATTAAGATTTTCTGAGCAAATTTTACTTTTAGCATATTGCCAATGTAATTTATAATTTATATTAGATCATTTTACAGGATTTTTTTTTTATAGAGTTCAATTTTGTTGCAAAGTCAAATGAAAACCTGTTTTGTCAACAACTTTAATGTAAAAAGCTCACTTTAGATACCTACCTTTATAAATGAAACAATCCCATGAAGTAATGCACCAATGGAGCTCAGCAGCACATTACTACTGATATGATGATCTTTGTTACAATAAACTAATAACCAGTAAGCAATGGGAACATATTTTATAAAGATTAACATTCCCAAAAGGGCTTAAATGGCTCAAGACTTGAAATTTTGGTTTTGAAGGAAATGAAAACTGATGAAAATTGAATGCAAGTCACAGATGAGGCTAAAGTTTCAAAGACGACTACTACCAAGTACCTGAGTAAAACTGAAGGTCAAGGGGAAAGAAAAGAAGGGTTCTTTTCTAAGCATTCTTGTCATCTGCACGCATAAGGAATACTTCCTCTTTAGCCTAGTGTGGTTTTGGGGTTTTTTTTAGCTTGTACTCTGTAAATTGAACTCGATTTATAAGCAAATTGAGAGCCTTGCCTTACACACCTGTGACACAAACAGTTTAAATTTAACCGCTAACAGAGAAAGTCCAGCATTATCTATGGTAGAGCAAATAAACAGCAAAACAGAGATGTAGTTTTGAAAAAGGAGAAAGATAAAGGTCCCCAAGTTTGCTGATCTAATAATAATAATGGTAGTAAAGGATTACTTTATTCTGGAGAGTTTTTGCAGTATAACACAGAGCTTTTCCAAAATCTGAACATCTAGCTTAGAACTTCGAAGCAATACGGAGCAAGTCCGGAAGAAGGATTCGTTACTGCAGGCTTCCAGGAAAGGCTGCAAGGAACCTGTAAAAGAAAATAATTTAAAAACTGTATCGCAGAGCTCTATGCAAGGAAAAGTAAGACAACTATAAATACCTTCAGAGGGCTTTAAACGCCTCATGTTGCACAAATATTAGAACAATGAAATAATTCAGTTTATGCTGGGCATGTGATGCAAAACTCAGGTAAAACTAGAAACTGAAAAAATGCAAGTTCCTAAGAGATCTGACATTACCGACCCTTGTATTAAAAGAAGGCCTATTCCCTTGAGAACAAAGGAAAACAGGAAACAGAAATATTTTAATGTTTACATAATGTTAAAAATATTAATGTGTTATACTTAAGAAACTGCAATATGAAAATTACAGCATAAACCAATAAACACAGACATTAAAAAATTCTTTGCACATATGCTGAACACTGTAATTTATAAATAGGATGTCAAGATGCTTTTATCAGTTCAAAGAGGACTGGATGTATCTTTTGGTTAAAATTTTCCCTTTCCTTGTTCAAGGACATACAACTTATTACTTACAACACGTAGCCTTGGAGTTAATTCAAGGTTTTATTTCAGAAGGCTTATTGATACAAGATCAGAAGAAATGCTACAGAAACCTGTTTGGAATAGGGCTTAAAAAAAAAAAATCAACTAGGCAATTAAAATCAGCCTGAGAGCCTAAACAACTCATTTTCTCAGAGCTGGGCATTTAAACTGAACATTTGGCAAAGACCCAGTAATTCCTTTACTGTTAGGAAGAAGATCTTTCAAAACCTTTATTTTTTTGCTTCAGTAACTGGCACCCAGCAACTTCCTTGAGATTGACATCTTCAACCTGCAGCCCACGGGCACGGACCGCACCAGATACACCAGCTACGAGCACCAGATGCAACATGCGACAATCCAACAGCACACACCATCTCCCCTGCCCTACGACTGTTACAACAGACGGAGCCCAAAGTCACGGACACAGTAAAGGAACTCAGTGGACATTTTAAAGAAATTTCACAGGGCTGGTCCACAGATTGAGGGAAAGCTATCTGTGTATTGTACAAAACTGGAACACAGTGTTTTTGAGAAGATATGATGCTTCTATTTTTCAAAATAAATCTTAAATATAATCTAATTTAAACACAGATATCAACCCCCAGAGAGGCTGTGGAGTCTCCTTCTCTGGAGATATTCAAAACCCACCTGGGTGCGATCCTGTGCAACCTGCTCTGTGTGAACCTGCTCTAGCAAGGGAGTTGGACTTGATGATCCCCAGAGGTCCCTTCCAACCCCTGCCCTTCTGTGATTCTGTGGTTTTTAAATGAGGTTGCATTGAGTAGCGTGAGACCTGAGCGGGACGTGAATGGTATGGAATAAAGGGTGGAGAATGTGCTGGCTTTGGCTGGGATTGAGTTGTCTTCATAGTAGCTAGTATGAGGCTATGGTTTGGATTTGTGCTGAACCCAGTATTAATAACACAGGGATGTTTTGGTTCTGCTGAGCAGTGCTCACAGAGAGTCAAGGGCTCTTCTGCTTCTCACACCACCCCAGCAGCGAGTGGGCTGGGGGTGCACAAGGAGTTGGGAGGGGACACAGCTGGGACAGGTGACCCCAACTGGCCAAAGGGATATTCCATACCATATGATCTCATGCTCCGTTTATAACTGGGGAAACTAGTCGGGATGCAGGATTGTGGCTCGGGAACTAGCTGAGCATTGGTTTCAAGTAGTGAGAAGTTGTGCTGTGCAACACTTGTTTTGTATATTCTTTTATCATTATTATTATCTTCCTCTTCTGTGCTATTTAACTGTCTTTATCTCAACCCACGAGTTTTACTTTTGTGGGGTTTTTTTTTTCCCTTTTTGATTCTCTCCCCTCCCCCTTGGGTGAGGGGCAGTGAGCGAACAGCTGTATGGTTGGTTTAGCTGCCAGTTGGGTTGAACAATGACAACAATGGCATGTCATTTGGCTACACCAACAAATGACCCAGTGCCACCCTCATGATGCTAACTAAGTACGTCTTATCACACATTATACTATAAAGTGAAGTCAACAGGCCTTTGCTGGTTTACACCATCAGATGAAGAGACCGAGAAACAGCAAATACCTTTAGCCCAGATCAGAGAAGCTATGGCTACATGTAATCTTTACTCTCTTTTCAGTGCAGGTGTTTTCAGCAGAATTGACTTAAAAGGCTGGATTCAACAAGCAGAATCCACAAAGTATGTAATGGAATGTGTGTGGACGGAAACTATACAGATGCAGGATAATATACTTTGGTAGCAAGGGGTCAACCTTGCAGCAATAAAAAGCAAGATGACAACTGATAAACTATGAAGTTTGGAAAAGGCAGGCAGATGTTTTGTGGCTTGCACAGTTGAAGTGTCCTCTATTCTTTACCCAAAGCAACACAAACCAGAAATTACTTGAAGATACATACATTATCAAGGCAAAAATGGTTATAAATTAATTTATTTTTCTGTTTACTTCTACTTCCATGTTTCTTGCATTCTTTCCACCATGTTCAATCCACCTATGGTTTTATGCATGCTCTCCTCTCACTTTTAGTACTATTTCCAGTTATGATTTGCTGTCTCAAAATTGTAACAGTAATAAATATAAACTCAGAATGAAAGTAAAATAGAAATGTAAGCAGTAATCAGTAAAAAAATACTGAAAAAATAAGTACAGATATATTTTTATTCTCTGTCAGTAAAGATACTATTTCTCATTTTATTTTAGCTTATGTCTTCAATTAAGAACAGAATGCTATGACTGATGTGATGTATTAAGTATCATTGACAGCTTCTAAAACAAGAAAAACATAATGGATACTGGAATAGTGAACTATGACTGTGTTTCTATAAACCTGCAGATACCACAATACATTAAAAGCAAATGAATTAAAGATTGGTGCTTATAGGAGAATTCCTAAAAGGAACAAAGAAAAGGGTACAGCCTCCTTAAGATGAAAAATAAGCTTGGTGCTGAAGAGATACATTATATACATGTGCATAAATACATATTTATATAAAACAGATAGATATAAAGAAACCATTTCCAGATATGTTTGAATTGACCTGAAAATGCCTCTTTATCAAAAATCACAAGGGACCAGTAGAATGATGATTTCACAAAAAAGAAAAAGATGAGAAGAATATATTCTCTAAGGGAAATTTAACTTGGGAATGGGAGATTATTCTAATGTACAAGTCAATAGGTAAGAAAACTGAACAAATCTGTCAGGAATCCAACAAGAGAAGTCACTATTGACTGCATTCAGCAGTCATGTACATTGGCACGTACAAACACAGTTCCCAGGATAAAGTTACTCAGGGCATACCACTTTTAATATATCATTTAATATTTCTCTACTTTCACTGCAGAAGGTATTATTTTTCAGAAATTGTGACATCAGAAACTCAGGGCTATCAGTCAATGACAGCAAACAGAAAATCCTTAGATGGGTTCACAGTATGTGCTAAATTTAGTGATACAAGACTGACGTACACTCAAGATTCAGCGCTCTTTATTGAGCCACTGCTCTCTATGACGGAACTCTGAAGTCATTAAGTACATATAGCAGTGTCTTAAACCTGGAAATATAATTAACCAGGAATTCACTTCTAGTATGATGGCATCATGTCCTAGTGAGTCTAACTTGTTAAAATCCATGAGAAGAGGAAAGAAAACTACAAACAGAAACAGCAAATAAGCAAAGCCCAATGAACACAATCCTACCATCTTAAGAGTACTTCATATCAAAGCATTTCTATCACTTAAGTGTTTGAAGTAAAAATTTCTATACATAGAGCAACAAGAGATAACGTTCTCTAAAGCAAGAAAAATCTAGGACTACAAATTATGTTATCATAACTTTATAGAAATTCTATAGAACTACAACTTTACAGAAATTCTACAATTTGCTAGAGTTCTTACAAATGACTGCCTATTCCCAAGAGAAATGGTCCTATCAATCTGCACTGCACCACTGATGAAGTCTGTTTTAACAATAAAAACTTGAACCAGTATCTCTTACTTACCAAAGCTGTTTATCATAAAGGTAAGAAGAGAAAGTGTAAATCAATGTGTGAGAACACTGACATTCAAGAAGTAAATTGAGAATAAAGGTTTTTCTTCTTACTATTGCCTGTTAAAACAACAAATGGCTTTAGAAACATCTCATTTAACATGACTTCTGACTCAGCTGAACTCTGATTCATGAGAGATCTGAAGGTAACAAGACTGCTGGGATGAAGAGGGCGGTCCCATAATTTATTCCTATAAATATCCTTAAATAGCCATAAAATGCTTTACATTCCTTTTCTGCAGAGGTAAATAAATACCATATTCAGCTGACCTGGACATGTCTTTGCTGCCTTGCTCTTATTGGTTTCTTAAAAATATTTCATTTTAAAAAAATAATATAGATATATACATACACACACATATACATGCTGTAAGAATGTTTTGACTGTGAAGTTTACAAACCAATGTAAAAGTTATGCATTACTTTTAAGACAGAAGGATTTTTACTATAAAACAGAAAAGCCAAAGTGGAAATAATTTCTAAAAGTTCGCAAAGTTCAATTATGTGAAAGCAAACTGATCAAGGCACAAGTTTAAATGGTCTTTCTGTACACTTCAGATAAGCTTTTGCAGAACATATTCTAAGTAATCAAAAAATGTACAAAACAAGCATATAATTTAAGTGCATGTCTAGCTGATGAACTAGAAAAATAAACGCTTCACATTTTTAAATATTTTGGTGGTTTAGATCTGCATAGATTTTGGTTTTATTACCTATTTTAGAAAAAATAAATTTGAATCCATCCTGATAGAACTTTAGCACAATTTAAAATAATCTGCAAAAGCCTCCACTGGTATCCTTAAAAAATTGCAGCATGTTGTAGTTGCATTAGCTTAACTTGATTGGTAGACTGCAATGAACAATGAGCAATTTATCACTGTTGACAGAATTCATCTGAAATTTACCCTCAAAGTAATCAGTCACAGCATAAAATCTCACCAGCTA